TTTTTTACAACTGGCAATGAAGTTTTTAATTTTCCTGGGGAGGCATGTCCTCCACAGTAATTGGGATTGACCAGACCACATTTGACCTGCAAGAGGCCCCCCAAAAGGAGTTTCCTGATGGTAATGGGTTGCCTTGTTTGACTTTTGTGGTCTACATTCATTGGTCCAATGTTGGCCTTTGCCTAATATTCTACATAATCCTGAAGACTAAGACTGTCCATTTTTTTTTTCATTCCCAGAGGAAACATTATTTCTAGGAACACCTTGTCTACAATCCCTTCTCAGATCCCTTAAAACATTTGGTATTTTGATGTTTCTTCATACCTTTGGAAATTGCTTCTCCTACCCAAGCCTCAGTATTATAGTCAAATGACTCAACATTGACTATGTGCATGATCCATTCATCCATTGGTGCTGATTTGGCCTTTAAAGTCCCAAGTATCTTTTTGTATTCTAAGTTGGCATTTTCAAAAGCCAGAAATTCAATAAGTACTCACCTAGCTTCTGAGTCCCTTACCCTTATTTGTACAACTTTAGTTAACCTTTGTAAAAAGTCACTAAAGGTTTCTCTTGGGCCTTGTATGACCTTAGTATATGATTCAATTCTTCTTCCTGATTTTTGAAACCTGTCCCAACCATCCAAGGCGGCTGTGTAGCATAGGGGCAAGATGTGTTCATTGTAAATAGTTTACTCTGTGGATCTTACCAAGAATTTGACCTTAGGAAGCCTCAAATCCTTTGACTCTGCCTTGCTGTTCTAGGGCTTTAGCCTCCTCTCTCCAATAGCCCTTCCACTGTAACTGTGGCCCATCTTCTAGCACTGCTGATACTAAATGATGTCAATCATGTGGAGTAACCCTACTGCTTGAAGTCCATGTCTTTACTGTATCCCTAACAAATGGTGACTGTATGCCATAAGATACTATTGCTTGCTTAATTTCTTTTAGATCTTTCATAGCTATAGGTTTCCATTTATATTCTTTGTATCTATTTGAGTATTGAGTATTTGCTGGCTTTTCAGAGGTAATAACAGGACAAGTAGCTAAAACTCTGCTAAGTCATCTCAATCTGAGAGGTAATGACAATGTTAAATCCTTTGCCTGTACCTTGCTTCTCCTTACTCCTCCTTAAAAACCCTTTTTACATGGTTCCTCCCAACAACTTCTAGTCAGGTAGCTGCTGAGGCAGCCTCTTCACCACAGGTGAATTTTATTTAATCAAACACATATTTACATCATTAAACAAATGTTCCAGAGTATAAACAAAAGTAACACACCTTAAAATAATATTCGACAACATTCATCAATATTATTCATTAGAGATTTGCAAATAAAAATAACAACTGGATTAAAGCTATATAATAATTATGTAAATATGAATTTAAAATTCAAAAGGTAATAAAGAAGGACTGGGAAGATTTATCAGCAGTTAGGAGTGCTTGCTGTTCTTCCAGAAGACCAGAGTTTAGTTTCCAGCACCCAAATCAGGTATTAAAAATGCTGCGAGATCCCCGGCAGCAGTAGGCAGGCAGGCCCACAGATCAGCCAGTCCCAGGCAGAGACCAGTCCTGAGCAATGGCTGGTCCCGGGTGGGCTGATCCCAGTGAGCCCAGGGGTGTGAACAGGTGGTGGGTAGAAGGCACATGGACAGACACATTGTACATAATAGAATTGAATATTTATTACTTAGAGCGGGGGTGAAGAAAGAGAAGAAGAGGAGAGAGACAGAGAAGGGAGAGCAGGAGAGAAGGGCACGCACACCAAGAAGGACAGTGAGAATCAAGATGGCGAGAGAAGGGCAGGGGTCACCAGGAGTGGGCATGGCTTGTCTCTTAAACTGACAATTAACCATAACATCAGGCAACTCACAACTGACTGTAACTTTAGTTTTATGATATCTGAAACCATCTTATAGCATCTACTATTACCTGGGGACACACACACACAAGCATGCACACACATCTTAACAAAAGTAAAAATAAATCATTTTTAAAGGCCATAAGAAAAAGAATTTTTTAAAAAGAACCCAGCTGAGCGTGTTGGTGTATGTCTTTAATCTCAGTACTTGGAAGGCAGAGGTAGGCAGAACTCAATGAGTTCAAGAACAGCCTGGTTTACAAAAGTAAGTCCCAGGATAGCCAGGGTCATTACACAGAGGAACCCTGTCTCAAAAAGAACAAAAAGAAAGAAAGAGAGAAAAGGAAAGGAAAGGAAAGGAAAGGAAAGGAAAGGAAAGGAAAGGAA